GCAATCCCAGCAGAATTTACTAAAATGTATCCCACCTCCATCAACCCAGGTCATGCAAAACAAAACACTGCACTCATAGAAGACCTCATGAAGTGAATGAACTCAGTGGAGTGTTATGGCATCTCTCCTCCCTTTATTGTGGAATAAGGTGCTTCCCACCTCAGCCAAGTCAAGTACCCAGGAGGGCTAGCTGATATCACAGATTGGCAAGGCTTTGTGGTCAAGCAGCTCTTCACTATCTGGCAGGGCAGGGTTATCTGATATTCCCAGAGGTCTGAGTCATCACTACTTAGGCTGCCTAATCTGAACTGTCCTGATGGATCCCTACTGCAAAGGGCTAAGTGCTGGGGAGCAGGTCCCCTATCGGAAGAGGCTGTTCATGTGTTTCTAGGAGTGGGAGCTGAAAATCACCTACAGACTACCTTCGCAGCAGGAATGGCGCAATGGGGCATCCTCATTTGGGAATGTTTAAAAGTATAGTGTTCTAATAGAAAACTTGAGGTATAGTAAGGCCAACAGATCAAGAGACAATCAATTACCATTGAAAAGATAGCTAGTTGCTCATAGCTCCCAAGAGGAAGGGCCAAGCCATACCACGGAGCCACACAGGGAAGCACTAGGGTTGGTCACAAGGCAGAAGGAAAGACGCTGTGGGAAAGAGCCTTTTTTCTGGTTTCCCTGGGAAGGAAGGTGAGGCAGGGCAGTCAGGCTTAGGATTGGCTAGTTTGATCATTTCAATGGGCTCTGGGGCATAGGGACTGCCCTCATGATCTGGTACCTGGGCCCTGGTGTGATTAGGGCTGGTATATAGTGGTCCGGAGTGTGACAGCCTAATAACGGAGGAGGTTGAGGGTATGGACTCTTGACTGACTAGTTTGTATGTGAAAAGCACACCCTAGAAGGACTCCTCCCAAGGTTGGGAAGAGGGTGATGAGGGAGGCAGGATGACTCGGCGTTTTATCAGGTTGTCCAAAACAAAGTGTGTCCTGCATTTGTATGTAGGGCAGATGGTAAAGTCTCAAGTTTACAGAAGCTAGAAGCATGGTTAATATACAGAGTTTCTGAGGAACACACAAATGCACAACATAAAGAATAACAGCTGCTGTGACAAGAGCACCAATGGCCAGAGTACAGGAGCATAAAATGCACAGCCTCTCACTCCATTTCTGTAACTCCAGTCTTATAAGAACCAGATGGCAACCTGAAGAGGAGGAGTGAATCAGAGTAGCCAACGCTCTTCTTCCCTCCTCAAACCACTGATCCGGCTGAGCTGCTGAGGATGGGATCCTTGCACAGGGATAAGACAGGCAAGGTTGGATGTAAAACTGAGTGGACTTTTTAGAATGAGACTGGTCTAAAAAGCATTGACATCTCCCCAAGATGTCAGGAAGGGAGCTAGGACGTACTATATAGCAGTATTGGGAGAAAAGTAAAGTTTTTTCCAGTTGTACCCTATGTTATTCAACTTTGTTTCATAAAATCATCTACGTATGATTTTTAAAGTCAGAGTTAATTGAAATGTAATGTCTTATGTAACTTATTAGGGGTTTCAAATTCAATGACACTTTAAAAGCTTAAATGGATAAAGAGGTATCATTTAAACATCATCACAATAGCTTTTGTCCATTTGTTCAGAAAATTGTGACTTGGATTAATTTTAGGGACCCATAAATCTTCCATCAAATAAATGTTTAATTTTTATATTTTCCTTCTTAGTAAGCTCATCAAGAATTTGCAGTTGAAAATTTTGTAATTTTATATTGGCTAATTTATGATTAAGAAAATAACTTTTATCGGGGAATTGGCCTAGAGGAATGCTTTGATAATTATAATTAGGACATCAATATGAACTATCTAATTCAGGAGGTAGTCTGGTTTTCATATTTTCTCTTCAGATGAATACATTCATTTACTTTGGAACCACTCGGACTTGTTGAGATAAAGATTACCTTGCTAAAAAGGATTAAACATACCATGTAACTATTGTGTGCTTTGTTTTCAGCAGAAGTCTTTGATATAGGAAAATGTAATTTATGAGAGAAAATCAACAAAGTACTCAGTTTCATAATAAGTGCATTTATTGAGTGCTTACTATTCATCACCAGGTATTATGCTGTCACTGGGGACAAGCTATAGCCCCTGACCCCCAGGAGCTTGAAGTCTAGTGGAGAACAGAAAAGGAAATTACAAGTAATCTACACTAATAAAAGACAAACATGCAAATTGACTGTACCTTCACTATGCCTTAAGCCATGCCCACCAGCCAATCAGAGCAACTATATGCAAATTAACCCAACCAGGATGGCAGCCAGCAGCCACAGAGCTGGAGCAAGCAGGACGCTTGGTAGCCCCAATGATGGAGGAAGCCAAGCTTCCCGCCTGCCGTGGCTGGCTCTGAGCTCCACTAAAAGCAACAAAGTTTCAATTATAGAAGGTAAATAAACCTCAAATACCTGCTTTCAGCCAGCCGTGGCCATGGAGCTGGAGTGAGCAGGAGGCTTATGTTGCCCCTGCTAATGGAGGAAGCCAAGCTTCCCTCCTGCCCGCCCTGGCCGGCTCTGAGCTTCAAGGCTACAAAGTTTCAATTATAGAAGGTAAATAAATCCCAGAATAATAAAAAAAAAGAAAAAAAAGAAAAAAAGGAGAGGCTGGGAGCTTCCGTCGCCGGGGGGCTTAGCCAGCCTGAAAACGGCCCTCAGCCCTTCACCCAGACTGGCCAGGCACCCAGTGGAGACCCCCA